TAAAATACCTAAGTTAGCTAAATAATATTTATGGAATACCCGAACCTAGATGATTAATTATTAATATATCAATATTATTCATCCAAGCCTAATTACGAAGCATGATTCTTTGCCAAATAGGATTCCGAAGCACCAAAAGCAGCCACATAGGCTCAGCGCATTCTGGAATTATATATAGGGCGGATATGGATTTCAAATCCAAGATTATAAATATGATTAATTTGATATATTATATATGTAAAACCGATAAGAAAAACAAAAATTATCTACTTTTAAAATATTTTTATAATTCAATAGCTTATTGAAGGAAGCAAATCAAAATTTAGGGATATATTAGTCACTTAGTGTCTCATTTTGTAAAATTACAAAGAATTAAAGAGTTATATTAGTAAAAGTGATATTAAAATACCTAAGTTAGCTAAATAATATTTATGGAATACCCGAACCTAGATTATTAATTATTAATATATTAATATTATTTGTCCAAACCTAATTACGAAGCATGATTCTTCGCCAAATAGGATTTCGAAGCATCAGAAGCAGTCACGTAGGCTCAGCGTATTCTGAAATTATATATAGGAAGGATTAATAATATATTTCGATTGAAATTGAATTAATAATTTAATATGTACCAACAATAGTAGGTAAAGCAGTCGCCATCAAACCAAAGGGTGCGATAAATGGGGTAGACGAAGCTAATTTACATATTCTATTGCCGGTCTTTAATTTCATAGTGAGACAGATGTTATTGAAAATTTGATTAAATAACGAATTAAAATAATTCGAGTCAAACTCATAATCCTATATTTCACAGCCATTGGCTCTTTAATATGCATCCCATAATGTTGTATAAGCAATGGGTCGAGACAGGCCACATAGAATATGGCCCATTTTTCATCAGAGCCCAATTTTCTTGGGCCAAGCCCATTTAGACAGATATAGTTCTTATCAATACTCTATGTGCTCAAACTTGAGGTATCCTCATGGTCCATCAAATGTGTCTTCTATGTGTTCTGCAAATTAATAAAGACATTGAAATTAAGAATTAAGAATTAAGCAATCAATTGAACAGTGTTTTTCTTTATTTTTTATTTATTTATTTTTTGCTTGAGTAAACTACATAATTCGAACAAGGAGG